CTTCCCTCCCCTTCCACCACACCGGACTTACCAGCTGGAGGCAACTGTATCAGATATTGGATCAGTATCAGCTGATATGCCTCCTTAAATATCAGTATCGGTCCTCAAAATCTCTATTGGTGCACTCCTCATTTTTATCTATTCCTATGTATAAAAGAACAAAGATACAACTACATAACAACAACACATTTCTATTCTTAACATTTTCCAGAAGTTCTCCTTATACTTAAATACTATAAAATTAGTGTTAACTTAATACTGAACTTTTCGATACATATCAAACACTTGCTATTCATCCACGTTTCCATAAAATATGAGGTAGTCCCGGTTAACAGCACATATTTTAATACTTAAATTGTAGGTTCCTGTTTTTATATCATCTTGCAGAACCTTGGTGCTGGTCTTTGACTGGGGCTCCCAGGCACTATGCCAAACAAACAACATCACCCATATGCAGAATAAATCAGGCCTAAAGTGAATTTCTACTAAGAAAACTGAGGTAAAAAAGAGCTATATATGTTGGCTGGTATACAAGAAATGTGTGAGATCCCCATCATGCTATGCAGAAGTAGAGTTTCAGCACATATCCAGTCTGCTTTGGAAAATAATTCACAAATTTGGCTCACTTTAAGAACTCAATTAGAAATCTTTAAGTGAGTAAAAGCAAATTAACTAATTTTGTGGGGTGATGGCACTTCCTGAAAAAGCATTTATTTCAGATATACTGACAGTTAATTAAAAAAAAGGGAAAAACATGAAAAAATACCTTCAGGTTGAAGCACTTTAATTGATAATTAAAAATTCTAATTTTTTTGATTTTTAAATAAAAATCAAAGGAAATTTCTAAATGAAAAAAACGTCCAAATGAAAATCCAAAGCAAATCCTTGGTTTAAAAAATGCTGAAACAAAATGCTTCCACTTCCTTAAAATTTTATTTCCCAAGAATTATTCCCAGAAAAAAATATTTAGCAAAACCAAAATTAATTAATGATATTTTTAATTCTGCTAACCCTTCATTTTTGCTTTAAAAAATAGCTAAAACATTTTTTCTAGCTCTAAGCATTATGTATTATGTATTTCATCTTTATTTAAAGAATTATACCAAAATGTACCTATTTCCAACATCTCCATGGGAACACATTCTGTTGCGGAATTATTCAAAGTATTTTTTGCTGTCACCTGAAAACAGTACCTAACATATGGAATGTCAGGGAAAAAGAAGGCACATGATCCATTGTTGCTTTGGCAGGTGTCTCTATTGATCCATTGTTGAATACCATCATCATAACTAAAATCCAAGAAAGAGTGACCAATTAGTAAAATATTATATTACATGTTATTATTAGTTAAATAATTAATGGTTTAAATTTAATTAGCAGTTATAATAAAAAAAAATCCATTTAAATAAATACTGCAAGATTTTTTTTACTAATGTATTTTTCTTAAAGGAAGTTTCTCTATCTATAAATGTAATTCCTTAAAATGTATTTTCTCTAAAAATCTACTCTAGTTCTTGCAGACCTAGAACCAAGTAATAGATCATAACACTTTAAGAAGACACATACATAAGCATGCAAATAAACAAGTAGACATACAGCCAACACTTGTTAGTACCAGTATGTCAATAACCTGGGTACTGTGTTGCTTCTAAATGAGTAAGTATTAGCAGAACAGCTTAGGGATTACTTAGAGAAGCTAGATGCTTTCAAATTGGCAGGGCCACATGGGACGCATCCTAGGATATTGAAGGAAATGGCCAAGGTAATTTCTGAGCCACTGGCTATCTCTTTGAGAATTTGTGGAGGTCGAATGACATCCTGAATGACTGGAAAAGGGCAAATATAGTGTCTATATTTAAGAAAGAGAGGATCCAGGAAATTACAGACCAGTCAGATTGACCTCAAAACCTGGAAAGATCATGGAGCAGGTCCTCAAGGAATCTATTATGAAGCATGTGGGTGAACAAGGTGATCAGGAGCAGCCAGCATGAATTTACCAAGAACAAGTCATGCCTGACCAACCTGATTTCCTTCTTTGATATGGTAACAGATGAGGGGGAGAGTGCAGTGAATGCAAAGTACCTTGACTTTAGTAAGGCTTTTGACACTGTCTCCCATAAACTTCTCATTCACAAGCTGAAGAAATACAGACTAGATGAAAGTACAGTAAGTTAGATCATTGTACTCATCGACTAGCTCAATGTTTAATCGGGAGGTTATCAAGTGGGGTTCCCTAAGGGTTTCTCTTGGGGCCACTATTATTTAATATCTTCATTAATGATTTGGATGATGGAACTGAGTGCACACTTAGCCAATCTGCAATGACACCAGGTTGGATGGACTTATAGACACTCCAAAGAGCAGGCTAGGATCCAGAATGACCTGGATAGATTGGAGACATGGTCCAAAATCAACCACATGAAATTAAACAAGGATAAATGCATAGTCCTACACTGGGAACAGAAATAATTGCATGCACAAATACAGACTAGAGAATGACTAGCTAAGCTGCAGTACTGCAAAGAAGAACTTTGGGGTTACAGTGAGCCATAAACAGAATATGAGCCAATAGTGTGCTTTTGTTGTAAAAAAAGCCAACAGCATACTGAGTACAGCTGTGCGAAACGGCTGTGTTTCGATTCAGTTTCAGTCAGCCATTTCAGAGGACAGCAATTCATTTCAGTGTTTCAGATCACTGTCCTGTTTCATTTTGGCCGAATTTCCTCTGAACCTGTTTCGAACAGGCTGCAAGGGAAGCTTCGCGCAGCCCTACCCAGCTGGGCAGGGCTTGGGGCCCCAGCGGGGAGCAGGATGGTTGGTGGTTGTCCACGGTTTGCTTGTCCAGGGAAGGAGGAAGAGATGGGGGAGTGGGAGGGCCACTGCCCTCCGTGCAGGCAATGAAGCTCCTGCACAGGTCTCTGATCCCTGTCACGCTGGGTCACGGGGCAGGGAAGCAGCACAGAGCGGCGAGCAATCCTGCTGGTCCCAGCCACACAACTCAGCTCTGCAGGGAGCAGAGATCTGCACTGGGGTCTCCTCACCACTGCTGACCACCCCACACTGCCCTGGAGATGTGGGGCTGCGTGGGGCAGGCAGCAGTGGGAAAGAGACTTCAGTACGGATCTCTGCTCCCTGTGGAGCCTGGTCACATGGCAGAGCAGTGCTGGTCCCTGTCGCGTGACCTGGCTCCGCAGGAAGCAGAGATCTGGGGCTGCATGGGGCGGGCAGTGGTGGGAAGGAGACCACAGTGCAGATCTCTGCTCCCTGTGGAGCCAGGTCATGTAGCAGGGATTCCCCAGCCCCCAGTTCAATTCCCCAGCTCTCTGATCATTTCCCCAGTTCTTCTCAGGGGTTGCGGGCTCCCACATCTGCGCACCGGGTTTCAACAGACTGCCGCTGCAGGCTGGGGCCAGTGGCAGCACTGCAGTCTTCCTGGCCCATACCAAGTGGCTGCTGCTGGCCCAAGCCTGCAGCAGCAGCCTACTGAAACCCTGCATGCAGATCAGGGGGCCCGCACCTGCCAGGAACAGCTGGGGAAATGATCAGAGAGCTGGAGAATCGAACTGGGAGCTAGAGGTCAGTATCAGAAAAGTCCTTCCCACCCACTTTCCCCTCCCTCTTCTTAGTTTTTGTTTCCCTGCAAGCCCAGCTCCAAAACCCTAAAATTATCTGAAACATTTCCAAAACATTTTGGAGCCTTCCATTTTGATTTGGATCTAGTGTTTTGGGCACCAAAACACCTCCAAAACAAAAGAGCTGCCAAAATTTCACACAGCCCTAATGCTGGGTTGTATTAATAGGAGTGTCACTGGCAAATCAAAGGAAGCAAGTTTTCTGCTCTATTCAGCACATGGATTACTGTATACAGTCTTGGGTCCCACACTTCAAGAATTTGAAGAGATTTTTATAAAGAGTCCAGCAGAGACCAATCATAATGATTAGGGGCCTTTAAGGCAGGACTTTAGAGGAAAGGCTGAAAGAACTAGGGATAACTGATTCTGAGAAGCGAAGACTAAGAGATTTGATAACAGTCTGCAAATACCTGAAGGGTAATTATAGAGAGAATAGAGATGGGCTTTTCTCAGTGGCTGTAGTGGACAAGACCAGAAGCTGCAGCAGGGGAAACGTAGGTTGGAGCTTAGGAAGAACTTTCTGACTATGCACTGGAATGGGCTATCTAGAAAAATTGTGGAATCTCCATGCTTAGAAATTTTCAAGAGCAGGTTGGACAGACACTGCTGAGACGGTTTCATCAGGATTGATCCTGCCTTCCATGTAATCTGTTGCTCAACACTACTTTTCTTATGTGTACTTACAGTAAGATTCCATCATCATTTGCTTATGCACTGAAGAAAATACCAAGGTTAACCAATTTCTGACAAACCTGCAGCTTCTTATGACTGGTATTCCATTTATTCTCCTCCAAACTTATGTTATATAACCGTACTTTTAAGTAATATTTAACATAATCTTTAGTGGCTTCTCATTTTTTCCATTAATTTTTTTTAAGCTATACTGTCCAACTCTACTGATCTTAATATCTAAGAATGGTTCAACTACTTTTTTTTCAAAACTTTTTACAGAGTTATATACAGTAAAAGCTCTGTTATCCGTTAAAATATGTTATCTGTTAAAATATGCTGGTTAACTGAGTGGCCCCGGCTGCTGCTTCTCCCACTGCATCTGGGGCATCCCTCTGCCTCTCCTGTGGCATCACTGCCCCTCCTGTGGGCCCCGCAGGACAGGGAGGCAGGCCCGCAGAGCCCCGTGCAGCCTGTTATGCTCCCAGGCCATGGGGGCTCAGCAGAAACCGGTGCTACGGTAGGCACTTCCAGTTTCACTTTTCCTTACAAGCCAGCATGCTAGTTACCAGAGCATACCGGCTTGTAAGGTGCTGGTTACCAGAGAGTTTACTGTAAATGTTTGTTACTTATTTTGCTGTTCTAGCCTCCACCTCTAAAAAATATATACAGTTTTGAGGAGTCAGTTACCTTAAACAAACCTCCTATACTCATTTACTAGTGATCCTAACCATTCCAGCTTTTTTCTCCTAATCTCAATGTTTATGCATAATAAGGGTCTTGAAATTAATGCCACAAGCAACCAAATAAGTAGGACATTTTCAAGTTTTCAAAAATAAGTCCTGTACTTTGTCAGGATGCAGCCAAGGCCTTTTTTTTTTTTTTCTTCACCCAAAACAACAACAAAGCAAGAGAGATGCTTGAACCTACATCACAAACATCCTGGGTAAACACCCTAATCGCCAGGCCAGTGATTTGCAACAAGCGTATCATGGCTCCCTGGGATGCCTTGAGATCTTTTCAAGGGTGATGCAGAGTGCTACATTTGGTGCACGTGGCGGAGCACTTTTGGGGGTGCTAGTCAGCCAAGAGCTTTCACAGGCTCGGAGGAGAGCCTGCTTTGGCAGAGCAACAGGGGGAACCTCCCCCAGGAAATATTTTAAGGGGGGAGGTGTGTGGCACTGTTGGTACCTGCCACTTTAAGAGCTGAGCCAAGCAGCCAGCAGGTGCTTGATTGCGGTGGTCTTTTTAGATCTCTGGCCACCAATATAAACAGAACAGTTCACTACTGGCACGCCTGGCTAAAAGATCACCTAGCTGCAAGGCTGTAAGCAACACCCTAGAAGTAAGGGCAGGATCTGTTGGGGATGGCTGTGGGTACAAGGGGGCCAGGCATGGCAGTAGCCACCTGAACCACAGGTATAGACTGCTATACCTTGTACAGGAGAGATCGAGTGGACAAAAGGGGCGGGGGTAGAGGTCTCTATGTCAAGGAAAACTATGCGTTCCTGCAAGCCAACATTGGCACCCAGGGTGGAGAATTGGAGACCCTCTGGGTTAAAATCCGTGGGAAACACAACACAGGGGACACAACGGTGGAAGTCTATTACAGACCTACCCAGGATCAAGAGCTTGACCAGAAGTTTGCCAGGGAATTGACTGAAGCTGCGTGCTCTCAGTGCATGGTTGTCATGGGAGATTTCAACTACCCTGACATCTCGTGGGAAGAGCACTTGGCCAAATCAGAGCAGTTGCAAAGCTTTCTCCCATGCATGGATGAACTCTACCTGACACAAGAAGTCAATGAGCCGACGAGAGGTAAAGCACTGCTTGACCTGATACTGGCTATGGGGGATAACCTAATCAGCGACCTAATGATTGAAGGGAAGCTGGGTGACAGTGACCACAAGCTGATCACCTTCACCATCTGCTGTAAAGCTGGCAAGTCAGTCAGCAAAGCAGAAGTCCTTGACTTCAGGAAAGCTGACTTTGACAACCTCAGGAGGCTTGTAGGTGAGGCCCTAAGGGACCACGACCCAAAGGGGAGGGGAGTTCAGGATGAGTGGTTACTCCTCAAGGGAGTGATCCTGGACGCACGAGCAAAGTCTATCCCATCTCGGAGGAAAGGCAGCAAAAGGGCACAGCAGCCCCCTTGGCTCTGCAGAGAACTAGCAGACCTCCTGAGACTAAAAAGAAAGACCTACAAAAGATGGAGGACCGGATCCACCTCCAAGGAGGAATATTCTGTACTGGTCTGGACCTGCAGGGAGCAAACCAGGAAAGCCAAGGCTGCAACTGAACTCCAACTAGCTACAAGTATCAAGGACAATAAAAAGTCCTTTTTTAGATATGTGGGGAGCTGGAGGAAAAGCAAGGGCAACATTGGACCCCTGCTAAACCAGATGGGACAAGTGACAACCGATGCTCAGGAGAAAGCCAACTTGCTAAATGGGTACTTTGCATTGGTTTTTCACCAGGCCCAAGGGGCACCCCTGCCCATTACAGGACAGGAATGCCTGGGTAAGGGTGATTCCTTACCCTCCATCAATGCTCACCTTGTGAAGGAACACCTTGAGAGGCTGGAAACCTTCAAGTCAGCAAGCCCTGATGATTTACACCCCAGGGTACTCAGGGAGCTGGCTAGCATCATAGCTCAGCCACTGGCATAGATTTTTGAGAACTCCTGGCTCTCTGGTGAAGTGCCCAAAGACTGGAAGAAGCCCAATGTGGTGCCTATCTTCAAGAAGGGGAGGAAAGTGGATCCGGCAAACTGTAAGCCCATCAGCCTCACCTCTATCCCAGGGAAGATCTTAGAAAATATTATCAAAGAGGCCATCCTTAATAAACTGGCTGATGGCAACATCTGTTCACCGGAGCGCCCCAGGGAATGACAAGGTCAAACAGTCACAAACTCCTTCAGGACTTTTTCAGGCTGGACATAAAGAACTTCTTTACAATCCGAGCCCCCAAGGTCTGGAATAGATTGCCACCAGAGGTCATTCAAGCACCTACTTTGAACACCTTCAAGAGAAATTTGGATGTTTATCTTTCTGGGATCTTATGACCCCCCTGTCTTCCTGCCACTGGGGCAGGGGACAGGACTCGATCTTCCGAAGTCCCTTCCAGCTTTAATGTCTATGAAATCTATGAGCCCAGGGAGGGTGTAAGACCCAGAAAGGGGACAGGCATGGCTATGGCCACCTGAGCTCCACCGGGGAGGGAAGCCATGGAGCCCTAGTGAGGGGGTGGCCCCAGGGAGGGTGTGGAGATGTGGAGCCCCAGTGAAGGGGGGAAACCCAGAGGGCTGGGAGTCCAGTATGTGTGCGGGTGAGGGTATAGAGTTTCCCCGGAAGGGGCCAGGGCAAGCTTAGACCCAGTCAGGTAATTGGCTGGCCACTACCCAGGTGAGGGTCACAGGAGAGGCCCAAAAGACAGTATGTCTGCCACCCAAGGTATGACCTAGCTAAAGCCTATGCCCTAAGGGGCCCACTCCAAGAGGGAACAAGGCAGTATGAGTTGTCGAGGCATGAAAGAGACCCTGTGGGAGGGGGTGGAGTGTGAGAGGTCCTAGTGAGAGTAGGGCAGTAAGAATGTGTGCGTCTGAGGCCTGACAGTGAGGCCAAAGCTTGGTCTGGCTGTAGGCCAGGAGCATTGTGTCATCTGGATGCCATCTGCAAGGCTTGGGCTGCGGTGTAGGGGAAGAACGGAGATGCAGATAGTGCCCCCTGGTATTGGGGCAAAGAATGGACAGCCTCCCGCCTTAATTCACACCTTAATTAAGTAACAACAAGGCAAGGCAGACGAGACAGGCAGGTGTGTTCAGAGGCAGGTGGGGAAACTAGCAGCGTAGCTTGTCAGGGAGTTCCCACCCTGCTACAGTATGCAAATATAATACATGAGATAAACGCAACAATTTTTCCAATAGGAACTATATAGTGTTCAAAATATTCCAGCATGGTATTTTTGAGTTCTTTGCAACAGAAGAATTGCTCTATTATTTTTCTATAGACAAAAAATGAGCAAAAACTGAGAGCTGGAACTTTCCAAGAGATGTCTTGAGTCTACAAAAGTTTAAAAACCACTGCACTAGGCAACGAACTTAGTGCACTAGACTATGATCTCGGCTAGCTGGTGATTGCAGGTTCTCTCTATCTCCTGCCCCATCTTGAAATACCTTCTCAATAAAAGTGTCACCTGAATTGCTACACTTCCACAAAACTTGTGATGATTCACAAGTTCTTCTAATTAATTATATATTTGAAGGCAGAATTTGTACAAATGCATTTAGTCCTTTCTATTACTCAGTATATAGATTGATACCTATAAGTACAATAATAAAGACAAATGCTCGGGAATGAGCTGTATAATCTGTTAATTTCTGACATCAGTAACTTTGGTTCTTTTATATCATTGTTTAGAAATCTGCATTTACAATTCATATACTGATGATCAATTTCTCAATCTCAATTTCCAGTTTTAACATGTAAAATAAAACAAGGAACAAAAAGTCACAGTGACAAGACAAGGAACTATATTGCATAAAACCAGTAGACCAAGGAATATAAAGAAATGTATAAACACATCTTTGAGACAATACAAGGTCAAGAGGTAGTGGTCTTCCATGGGTTGGAGAAAAAACTAAGACCTAGATGGGTGGCAAATCAGAATTTTATCTCTGCCTACTTATTGCATGTGAGGCCCTGATAAAGTCACTTTGCTTTTTGTGTTTGTCCAGCTTCAAAATGCAAATAATATTTACCTAGATTGTGGTAAATATTTTTAATCATGTTGAATAGTTAAAATGGTATATTCATCCCAAGTATTGCTACCATAGATTAGGGGTGCTCAATCCCTGGCTCATGGGCTAGATTCAATCCATGAAGCCATGTTATCCAGCCCATAGGGCTCCTCACACTTGTGAAATGTGGTGGCAGAGGAACAGTGGCAGCTAACTGCCACTCCCCTGTTGTCAAATGTCTGGACTCAGCCCTGCGGTCTGTGGGGCTCCTCCTGAGTGAGGCCATTTGGGACGGGGCAGAGCAGGGCAGAACTGAGTGGGCAGGTGGTGTGATAAAGAGCAGCACAGGGCCAAGCAGGACTGGGCAGAGGTGGCATGGGGCCCGATCCTGACAGGCAGGTCCTGATCCCATTGGCAATGGCTCTGAGCCATTTATCTGATCCTCAGAGCCAAAAGATTGAGCACCACTGCCATTGATAATACGCATACATTTAATTTTAACTCCATATGAGAGAATGACATTTTATACTAATTACATATTTACTAGATATTAACCTAAGCATATTTTGCTTCTGAAGAATAAATAACTTTTCTTGCAATCCACATGCAAGTGGAAGAGTCATTCCAATTATTAAATGCAGGTAATATTATCGAGAAAACGGTTCCTTGGTCTTAACAGTACATAAGTATACCTGAGCAACCACACACTAAACTGTATGAATTATAGAATCTTAGAGAAATAGGGCTGGAAAGGACCTCCAGAGGTTACCTCATCAAGCCACCTGCTTGTTGCAAGGTTATGCCTTTCCAAACCATCCAATACAAATCCATAATTGAAACTCTTAGTAAAACTACCATCAATCTTGACATAACACCCTAACCTGCCATACGCAAATCAGGAGAACCATGGCATCCAACGTCCTGCTTCTTTAAAAAAGGTATCAATACACACTCAAAAGATCCCAGGTCCATATTTTCTAAGTCACTGACTTTACAATATAATATCTCAACTATCCTAAGAAACTGAAAACTAACATACTTTTATATCATAACCTACTTTCAATTCATAGTGCAAACTGCCTTGGAAGGCTTGTTTTATTAGGGAAAAAAAACACATTTACTTATTAATTTAATCCTATTTCTGTAATAGCACACTAGAACATGGACGCAAACCCATTTTAGACATATAGGCCTCTGCCAAACGTTACCTTTTTGGCTACATTTTAGAGTGGGGGATGTGAGGATAAGGCCCTGCACTGGCTCCATTCCAGCAACTCCACCTTGGGCAGTGCCCAGGGACATCATTGTGCACCATTATGTTACTAACTGTGATACTGTTCTACCAACACATATTAACCTGAATAAGAAGCATCGTATCCTGCTGATATTTCCATGTCCAATTAGCTCTAGATTTCTTTGATAAGATTGCTAAGAAAGAAATATATTTCACTTACAATGTGAGCACTTTTTCCACTGGATTGGATTTACTGATTTTTTTCTTTTTGTTTTCATCATACAAAACGCTACAAGATATCAGATTATAATTGCTAGTAATCAAGAGGGGACAGTTATAGTACAGCTATGCTGAGCACCGAGACCCATGTCTTTTACTCACTGTTTTCGAATAAGAGTATACGTTGTATTCAAATGCGTTTCTCTTCCTGAAATCCAGCTGCAAGTAATGTTTATATCATAATAGTAAATGCAGGAAATATTTGTTGGTTTCTCAGGTGAAACTACAAGATAAAAAAAATAATTCCAGAACACATGTGGTTGAACAGTATATTGAAATAGTACAAGTCTTAACAGTCAAATGTCAGTAAACTCAATAAATGGCAATGTCAGTAAATTTATAATATGCAGAGCCTTATGGTGACTTGTTACTGCCCTCACATCTCATCATCTACACAACTACTGTAAACTACAAACTCAAATTTTCTTCCGATGGAAGAAATATTTTCATCTTATTTCTCAAAAATATCATTAACCAGGCTTAAAGGTATTTTCCATTAACGCAGTAGCAACGTTATGCTAGGGTCAATAAATGCATTCACTTTCAGCTTCTATGTTTATTTCACCCCAGAAATTAAATGACTGTAGTTGGAAGTTAAAGCAGCTCCACAGAAGTCATAGAGGGTACATCTACACAAGATGCAGTAACCTAAGTCTGCTGCACAGTAGCATACAGGGCAAAAACTATGCTAATATGCTACTGCACAGTGGTATTGGGCTACTGTGCAATTAGTGTAATTAAAAAGCCATGTGCTGGTGCTATTCCGCAGCAGCGCCTGTTACTGTGCATTGATTTAGTACTTGGTTATACAAGTACTAAACTTAATGTGCAGTAACTATGAAACATTAATGAACGTGTAGATGTGCCCAGAGAATACAAACCTCTAGAAAAGCAGAATTTCTACTAGTTACTCTACAGTGCGTCTGACCCTACCTATGGAATTGCCGCTGATGTAGGAAACCTTGAAGGAGCTTTCAGAGTATGCAAAGACTTCCTAACATCACTTCTCAGCATCTTCTACTGAAGCAATCACAGATTCAGAGTTTACTTCATCTCAGAGGTACAATATCTCTAATATCTCTAAAAAGGGTGGGCCAGATCTGGCCTGTGGACCAGAGGTTAAGCACCCCTGCTATTAAAAGTTACAATATGGTAGACTAGACATGTTACATAACTATCTAAGGGCCAAGAACCAAGATCCACTTAAATCCATGGAAAAACTCCATTCTGTTCAATGAGGTTTTCAGTTGAGACCTGAGAAATCCGTGAACTAGTCTAGGTATAGCAAGTCATATAATTCTACTTACAGCCAGATTTAACATTAGTGTGAGTCTGAAGTTGTTCATAACCCAAATCAAGCATCTTAGTGAAGCATCTCACATGTGCACTTTCATAAGTGAAGTTACTGATGGTTACACTAGAAGTACTCTCATTAATAATGGTATAATGTTCCTCTGGAATCAAATCATGATTCAACTTCCAGATGATGTGACTTGCATTTCTGCGAGGAATGAGATGTTTTCCCAGAGTGCAAAAGAGTTTTAAAGTTGACCCTCTTTCGATTTCAGGTGACAAAGGAAAAATTTTAGCCTCTCTCATAGCATTTCCATCTGAAAATAAATCACATAAAAATATAATTAAAAAAATTGTTCCATCCTAGTGCAGAACTTTGCATTTGTCTTTATTGAATCTCATGAGGTTCAGTAAAGACAAGTGCAAAGTCCTGCACTTAGGACAGAACAATCCCATACACCAGTACAGGCTGGGGGCTGAGTGGCTAGGCACAGCTATGCAGAAAAGGAGCTAGTGGTTACAATGGATAACAAGCTGAATATGGGCCAACAAGTGTGTCCTAGTTGCCAAAAAGGCTAACGGCCTTACCAGAAGATTTAGGAAAGTGATTATTCCCCCCTATTCAGCAGTGGTAAAGCCACATCTGGAGTAGTGTCCAGTTTGGGGGCCCTCACAACAGAAAAGATGTAGATAAATTGGAAAGAGTCCATTGGAGGGCAACAAAACTGGTTAGGGGGCTGGGGCACATGACTTCTGAGGAGAGGCTGAGGGAAGTGGGCTCCTTTAGTCTGGACAAGAGAAGACTGAGGTGGGGATTAATATCAGCCTTCAACTACCTGAAGTGGGGTTCAAAAGAGGGTGGAGCTGGACTGTTCTCAGTGGTGGCAGATGACAGAACAGGAGCAATCATCTCAAGGGAAGCAAGGGAAATTTAGGTTAGATATTGGGAAGAACTTTTTTCACTAGGAGGGTAGTAAAACAATGGAACAGGCTATCCAGTGAGGTTGTGGACTCTCCATCCTTGGAGGCTTTTAACACCCAGCTAAACAAAGCCTTGGCTGGGATGATCTAGTTGGGGATGGTCCTGCTTTGAGCAGGGGGTAGGACTAAATGACCTCTTGAGATCCCTTCCAACCCTCATTTTATATGATTTCTATGAAAAAGATAACCCATAAAAAGTCATGACAGCCTATTTTTAGGCATCTACTTAAATCATTCCAAAGCGAGGGAAAAAATTTGGGCCACTTGTAGCACCTGGCATCATTTTTGCTGTCTTTTCACAGCACCCCCTGTTGATTGGCCCCTGGTAGCCCCACCCCTTATTGCTGATTGGTCAAGTGGGCTGTCTTTCATGGGGCCCTGCCCCTTACCACTGATTGGCAGAAGACTGCCCTTCATGTGGCCCCTCCCTTTGCTACTGATTAGCAGAGAAGGGCAGGGCAATTCAAAAGGCAGCCCTTGCAACCAAACAGTAGCAAGAGGATGAGGGGTCGGCCTCCATCTTGGCTGCACCTCTTTGTGCCACCACCTCTCTCCCAGTGGGCTGCAAGGCTGAGCCATAGTAACCACTGGCTCCAACCGAGGAGCCAGCATTTCATTTTTGGTACATTTTTTTTCCTGGTGACTCCGTGGAAAATCATGGAACTGTCATTTTTTGCATGTTCATGGAAACAGCCATTTTGCACCCTGACCCATCTGTCCCACACCTACCACTGGGGGTTCCAGATGGAGCAAGCCAGCGGGATCTCCCTGGAGGCTGGCCCAGAACCAGGGCAGTCAGGGCATGCTTGGCCAGATAAATAGGATGGGCCCACAGGCAGGTAGGGAGCTGCATTTAGGAGTGGGACAGGTGGGCAGGGCTGGGATTGGGGCTGGGATGGTGGGGTGGGACTCTGGGACAGAGGCAGTATATGGTCAGGGCCCAGGGAAGAGCCATGATCTGCTTCCCACACATCCCTATGATGGGCACTGGTTCCATAAGAAGGAGCGTGTGGACAGTGGATCACGGCCCTGCCCCAGGCCCTGTGCGGTCCTGGCCCTACAATCCTGAACCCCACTCTTGTCCTGGCCCTGACAGCCTGTACCAGTTCCAGGCACCATTCCCCACCCACCTGCAGCCCTGCTCTGTCCACCAGGCTGAGCACACCCTGCCCGTGCAGGTCCCAGACCAATCTCCACAGAGACCCTGGGATCACTGGCCAGTAAAAACACAGGTCCAGGTTAATACAATTTCTTGCCAGCACAGCTCTGATTTGCCACTAGAGAGCTGGTGAGTAGGGGCATGGACAGGAGCCAGGATACCTGGACTCTATCTCTGCAATGGGTGGGGGTGAGGGAAGCAGTGTCTCCTGGGAACAGTAAAAACCGAGATGCTGGAAGAATAAAAATTGCCCGTTTTATCTCTCTGGGGCGGACTGAAGATACGGTAACACGAGCTAGGTAGCATGACCCAGAATTAACCTTGACCTGAAGCAGCATAAGTTCGAGATATTCAGAGGGCACTTGGCACAAGTTACTAAGCTTTAGCATGTGGACATTCACGTTTTAAGTGCCCTTAGCATGGTCTAGGAGTAATGAGTAACTTCTACTTGTAGGCAACTTACAGGAGTGAAGATGACTGCATTTTTCCATTTATGAGGAGCCAGAAGTCAGTAACAATGAATTATGGGTTATTTTTTCCTGTATCAAAGTATGATGATTAGAGTGTTCTCAATACACTAAACAGGATAATTTCAACAAACAACAAAGTCTTCTTAACAGCTTTTGTGTGTAGGCAGTCTGATTCCATTTCCTTCCACATATTGCAATGGTAGATCTTCCATGCTTTTTTGTTGTTTTTCCCTATTGTCACACATTCATCCAAAAATGTGATACTATGTAGACTGGTTTCCCTATTTTCTGCTTTTGTTTCAAAAGTATATAAATCAAGGATTCTTGATACTCATTGGACAGGTGCAAGTATTATCAGTTCTGTACTCTTGTGACATAGAGTTTGAGATTTAGCTAATATTTGGGTTAGGGACAGAAGTTACACAAACCGGTTTAAGTGATCAGAAACTGATTTAAACCTTTACCAAAACAGAAATTCAGTGCACTTAAACCACTTTCAAAATGGCTGAAACTGTTTTAAGATAAACCTGGTTGGATGTAGTATCAGACTTAATTGATTTAGCTCAAACCAGTTTATGGAACTTCTGTCCCAGATCCCCTCCTGGTTCAAGTTAACTCACAGTCCCCCAGCATCCCATGATGCTTTGCAGCCTTGGGCTGTGCTGTCTGCTCCAATGAGAAGGGTCTTCCCCACTCCTCTGCTCCCTAACAAGAGCACTATCACTCTGGGTGGCTGAGGAGGGGGTGAGGGGGGAAAAAAACTCACCCCTCTGGCCCAGTACCAGATGCCCAACTGGGTGCTGGTGGTTGGAG